ACAGATAGATGCAGTTCTTGCCCACTTTATCAACACAGATTCTTAGCCTGTTTTGGGTTATGAAATTTCAAGGGTTTGGAGCTTGAAGAACCGCTGCAAGCTGAGAAATTAGAGTGGCAATTTTGACAATTCATGAATAAATTTTGGTTTTTAATCTTTTAACTCTTCGTGTTCACACAGAAAATAGTAACACTTCATGGAGCTACAATTAACACTCGAGTTACTTATAACTTCGTTTTTGAAGGGCCTGAGATTAAGCAGTTTGTTGAAATGTTAAACAACCCCTTTAATTATTTTGCTAGATCGATCGTATTCGTCTACTCGAAAACCTGTATTTTATAACAAATTTCTACGAATGAAATTCAAAAAAAAAAAAAAAAAAAAAGTAATAAAAAAGATATTAAAAAGCTCATATATTTATTATAAGAAAAAATGAACAAAATTAAATTATAGCATCTAATGTATTCTCCGAATTAATTTTATCAAAATTATTACCTCTAATCAGTTGTAAAATAATAATAATAATAAATCAATATTAATGGCTGTTTTTTTTTATTTCATAAATTCAACTTTAAAGAATATTTAAATTTTTTTATTTTCGTTATCTCTTCGTCTAAATTGTTTTCAGATAGCCATTTTTTTTTTATTTTGAGCTGTTTTAAAATATTAATTCAAAATTATTATGTAACTTATTATGAATTACAACTTTTTTATTTTTTTACTTTAAAAATGGGTAATTTGATAAATATGAAGAAAAATAGTTACTATAAAAAGTTTTTCAAACAAAATATAATTGTAGCTTAAATAAATTTTAAAAAAAAAAGTAAAAAAAATATAAAATTCTGTCATTTATTAAAATTAATAATTTAATTAAATCCAATAAATTTATAAGAATAAAAATGAAAGAAAATAAAAGAAAAAAAATCATAGGAAATGCTTTAACTTAGAATTAATGTGAGCTAAAATAATAATAATTGAAAAGAAAAAAGAAAAATGGGTTTTAGTTCTCACAAGGCCCAAACGGTTCCTAGGGTTCTCCAAGTTACAACCGCCTATAGCCGGTCGACTTTTCAAAACCCTAATTTGCTCGACTATATATATCTTCTCATCTCCCCCACGCTTCCTCCTCTATCGCTCACAAATTTACAATCTTTACACAGCCGAAGGCGCAGAACAAACCACAACTCAAGAATGGCGGAAGGGCTCGTTCTCCGGGGAACGATGAGGGCTCACACGGATATGGTCACGGCCATAGCCACTCCGGTTGACAATTCCGATATGATCGTCACCTCTTCACGTGACAAATCCATCATCTTGTGGCGTCTCACTAAGGAGGAGAAGACCTACGGTGTTCCTCAGCGTAGGCTCAATGGCCACTCCCACTTCGTTCAGGATGTTGTTCTCTCTTCCGATGGCCAGTTCGCTCTCTCTGGTTCCTGGGACGGAGAGCTCCGCCTTTGGGACCTCGCCACCGGCGTTACCTCCCGTCGATTTGTTGGTCATTCGAAGGATGTTCTCTCTGTTGCCTTCTCCATTGACAATCGTCAGATCGTCTCGGCCTCTCGTGACCGAACGATCAAGCTATGGAATACACTCGGTGAGTGCAAGTACACAATCCAGGATGGTGACGCTCACAGTGACTGGGTTAGCTGTGTTAGATTCAGCCCTAACACTCTCTTGCCGACGATTGTTTCGGCGTCTTGGGACAAGACCGTGAAGGTTTGGAATTTGACCAATTGCAAGTTGAGAGTGACTCTTGCTGGTCATGCTGGTTATGTCAATACGGTGGCTGTCTCTCCTGATGGGTCGCTATGCGCTAGTGGAGGCAAAGACGGAGTGATTTTGCTATGGGATTTGGCCGAGGGTAAGAAGCTCTATTCATTGGATGCCGGATCGATTATTCATGCTCTTTGTTTCAGCCCCAACAGGTACTGGCTCTGTGCTGCGACCGAGAGCAGTATTAAGATCTGGGACTTGGAGAGCAAGAGCATCGTGGAGGACTTGAAAGTCGATTTAAAAACCGAGGCGGAGAAAACTGATGACACCCATGCTGCAACCGCCAACAAGATTAAGGTATAATTCATTTAAATTTTTTTTTTTCTGTGCACCATGTTGTACTATGGAAGATTTTGTGCTCGTTTCGTTCTTTAATTATATAACACCCATGTACTATGTTTGTTGATGATTGATCGTGTTGTTCTGGCCCTGCTTGCAATTACCAATTACATTGTCTTATCAGCATGCCATGTTATATACGTTGAGATTGCATATTCTGGAAGTGTTTTATACTTGGGTGTATGTTCCTACGATGTTTTCTAGTACTGTTTTCAGCACTTAATTGTATATTGGTTGTTAAACTTGTCTTATTGTTTTTTTTTTTTTTTTTTTTTTTTT